TAGCTTACATTTATGAACACAGTGTGGTGTTAAACTAGAGCAGCATATTTCTCCTCTTTAATAAATGAGAATAATAATAATCCTAGATTTATTTTAAATAGACTTTAATAGACAAAACTCACTCAGAGCCATAGCTGTGTTGAATTGACCATTCAACCTGCCCTTAGCAGTAATGATTTTATGGAATTCTTTGTAAACTAGATTGACTCTTTTAAAAATAAAATCATTGGCACCCCTCTAAATATGATTGTTTTATCTCTGGAAGTTGAGGTAGCATCTGAGGGAACTATAGGATCTAAACTGGGTTTAGATTGTTCTGATTCTGTTGAACTTATCCTGAGTTATCTCTCTCTGCTATAGTTATGCAGACAGCTGGAAGACATATGGATATTTATTTATTATTCTGGTTCATTCTATCTCTATGCTTCCATTCTGCAGTATTTAAGTTCCACCCAAAACTTTATGTACTCTTTGCTTTTCCTTGTCATAATAACTTCATCTGGTCAGTTCCCGTGTTGCTGTGACACCATCCTGGAGAGAAATATCAGCTGGGCTGCTGCCATCAGCAGCTTTGTTTATAGAGGTTTTAGATTCGCCTGTTTTTCAGAGTAGTCCTGTCCTTTCACTATGAATAGCTGTATGTACTCTTTTTCATCCTCTGAGCCTGTTTCTTCTGGAGGTTTCTTCCTGTTAAAAGGGAGTTTTCCTGTCCACCATTGCTACATGCATGCTTGGTGTGAGGAATTGATGTTGAGTTAATGAGTCAATGCAATCAGCTGCTTTTCCTTAGAGAAAAAACTTCTAACAAGTTTGACTGTATGATCTGGTTGAGTTGTCTCAGTAAAGTGCCTTGAGATTACATTTGTTTTGAATATAAATAAACTGAATTAAATTGTTATCGCAGATAATAAAGGTTTGTGCTAACACCTCAGCAGCATGAGTAAACATTTAAAGTGGTTTGAGCACAGTTGCAAGGCACTGTCTGTTACATGTTTTCTAAAATCTAGGTCAGAAACATTAGAAATTATAAAAAAAACTTCATGGTTAAGAAAAAGATAAAACCTAAGCTTAGTTTCTGAAATAGAGCCAATAGATAGATATTTTGTTGAGGTAATTTTTTAGATTCTCTTTATTAGGCACATAAACAGAGTTAAAATCAAAGAATAAGTGGTTGAAGTTTGTCTCAAAGAATATCATATTTGTATTGTATTTTAATCAGAATGCTGTCATTATTGTCTTGTCAGGTACCCTGTTGGCTCCGCCCTCGAGATCGCACCCGTTCACCTGACATCCTGAGCAATATGTCACGTCCCACAACGCTTCCTCTTCGCATCCCTCCTCGTATCTCCATCACACAAGCGGACACTGACGGGTATCCTATCATTAAACACATAACAAAATACACATTGTTCTTCAATTTAAACCTTTTCTGTATTTTTCTTTTGATTTTAGCTGTGAAGCAGAAAATGGCATATCTCCAGCTCACACCCCTCTTGGCTCCCAGAGTCCGAGCCGAACGTTGTACACCTCCTTGCCTCAGGGCCAGAGGAGAGAATCATTCCTCTACAGATCTGACTCTGACTATGACATGTCCCCCAAAGCCGTCTCCCGTAATTCTTCCATTGTTAGTGAAGGGTGAGCTTAAACAAAAACAGATTAGAGATTGTACAGTTCTCCGTTGTTCTGTGTTTATCCATATCTTAACCGTTTCTCCTTATAAAAGGCATACAGCAGAAGACTTCATTGTCACACCTTTTGCTCAAGTGAGTCTGACAAAATATGAAAGGTCATAAAATTATGCGAAAATGTAAAAATTTTTTCTCTACAAATGTATTACATAGTGATTTTTTCTAATGATTTAGGTACTGGCAAGTTTGCGATCAGTACGAAGCAACTTCACCATCCTTGCCAACGTCTCTACACCTACAGTGAAGTAAGAACTAAGCTTTTCCAAAAATTATTGATATTATAAGAAGAGTAATTTTATTTCAAACAATGCAGTGAAACGCCAAATAACTTCCGCTCATTTATATGAATTTATTATATGAATAACACATTCATATAAATGAATCTTCCATCAAAATGTAAATTCCATGGAATATTATTGTTATTAAAACCCACCATTTTAGGAGAGCTTTTACTTGAACTCTTCCGCCCTTTTTTTCTTTTATTGTCTTTGATTATTTTATCTTTTCTTGTACTTTTTATTTCTCATGCTCTTCATGTAAGGCTTTTTTATTTAGCCCTTACCTGTTTTACTATGTAGCACTTGGGGTTTGTTTAAATATAAAGTGCATTACAAGTCCAAAGTATTATTATTATTATTATTATTATTATTCACTTAATTTAAAAGGTTACAAAATACACATTAAGATTAAATTGTCTTTTTTAAGAGTGACCTGGTCAGGAGGGCCAAGGGTATAAAAAGCAACATTCAGAGCAACAATCATGCAACAATAATAAAAAGAAACAAAGTTGCATAAAAAGACGATGTGTATTCAATTTACAAACAACAACAACAACAACAAAAAAAAAAAAACAGACATTAGAACCAGCCACATTTTGCTCTTTGGTCATTTAGCCAAATAGAAACAGACCTATTTGATAAATTCAGCTTTTTTTTTTTCAACAACAAAAGTTTTATCATGTTTAGTTGGAATAAGAGAAAACCTTCATTTAGCTGCCTCTAATTGAGAAATTATCTGCAATTACCAGGTTTCCTGGTGCTCTTGAATAGAGAATAATGCTCTAATATTTATTTACCCATTTTTATTTTGATGTTTTTGTCTTTTATTTCTGTTTTTTATTTGCCCAAAAAACATTAAGGTTGTAAACAACTGTCCATTTACTAGACCCTTCTTTAGCCTTCTCTCTGATTCATAGTAGCCGCTGTGATTTCAGGAGATCTCCCTTAGGTGGAGTGTGCCCCAGCCCCAGGGGGACACTTTCAGATCAGCAGTACCAGCAGCTGGCCTTAGACACTCTGGAAGAGTTAGATTGGTGTTTGGACCAGTTGGAAACCATTCAGACCCACCGCTCTGTCAGCGAAATGGCTTCTACTAAGGTAGGAATATCTTTCAGAATCAGATGTCCAACCTACATATCATGAATCAAAATATGTAAAAGAGTGTCATTCAAGATTAATTTCAATGTTTTCTTTTTTTGGAGTTAAGAATTTAAAGTCTCCGAAAGCTTTACCACAAATATTTACTAGTGTATCTGTTTTCTTGAGATTTTTCAACACTCAAAATGCAATTGAAATAATATATCAGAGAAAAAGGTTAATATTTTAGATCAGTTATGATTATCCCAGCTGTTTCTATTTATAAAATTTGAGGATAACAAAAGATCATATTTTTACTTTGCCTTTAAACTTTGCCAAAAGCCCAGATGATAATGCCTCAGCCTATTTAACCGTCGACGTAGAAAAGTGGAGTTTAAAAGAGGCACAATTATGGATATGTTTTATGATACACCTCAAACACGTCGTCTTCTTGCATGACATATTTAAAAATTACAAAAACAAATAAGCTTTCATTTCATCAGGCAGATGATAATATGTGTACTTTGAATCTCTATAGGTATGGTTTCTTCATGTATCTAATTACTTCATGCCAATTATTAGGACTTGGATATATTAACCCATCAGCTCGTTTACAAAGGAGTCAGATTTTGTGTCCAAAATATCAACTTACTCTGATAAATTTCATAAAGATGGAACTCAGAACAAAAGCTAAACAGTAATGGTGGTAAATGAAGACAGTGTCAGTAAAGCCTGGGAAATAATTCTAGTATCAAAATAGACTGAAAGGCCAATAAGAGAGGAAGAAGCCATTACTATAAAAGTAACACACAAAGCAAAGTTTGCAGTGTGGATAGGAAGACATCATTATTATTGAATGCAGAGGAGAGCACAGCACTTCACAAAACAGATTACATCATAAGGGAATAACCTTGTGTAAATGTAGTTGAGCAACATTGTGGCTAATCAGCCAGTACATTAAAGCTTGGGCACAAATAGGTCTTTCAAATTACAATGACTGTCAAAAAAAATGAGAAAGCTGCTTATGAAAAAACTGCAGAACTTCTGACCCAAGTACTATCTTAATTTGAGATATACTAAATGATTTTCAGGTCTATATAAAGCACTTGGCCTGGATCAATGCTCCATGCAGGATGTCCTTCTCAAAAAGTTGGTTAAGATTCTTGAGAGGTTTGGATCCTTCACTTAGTTATATGACCTACAGTAGTGCTCCACTTTACGGCAGTCTCAGGGTCCCTTAAACAGGAGAGGCAACTAAGCTAAAAGTTATGATACTTAACTGATCAGACATATTTTAGGTTCTCTGTGTAAGACTCAAGAGGAGCATAGAGTAGTTATATAGGTCAGTTAGAGCTAATGTGGCCTTGAATTTAAAGGTAACTCCACGACTTCTTAATTTCTTGATTCAAAGAGGGTCTGCTGTCTAATACCAACTTATTTTTGTTAGGGGAGTGCCTTCAGTGGCCTTTAGAGGGGCTAAACCTTAGAGTTTCAGGTCAAGTGCCCCCTGGTGTTATGCAGTGTCGCTTTGAGGTCAGCAAAGTCGATGTTTCAGAGTGCCCATAAAGTAACCCTGAGAAACTACGCAGACAGAACTGTAAATATGGGTGTGAGCAAGGCAGCCTTCTTACCTTTCTATATTACAAAGTTACAGTCATGTATGTGAGAAGCTTGTGAAAAGAACCCTAGCGCGTTTTATTTTCTTAAATACTTTAGTTCATACCAACTTCTAAGGAAACAAATTGGAAGTGAACCTGATAATGACAAAATTAAAATGAAATCATTTTATCATTGTTCTCCTGTCCAGTAGGTAGAAATAAGCTTTATGCTAACTGACTGAAAATGGTAACATTTTGTCCATTCAAAATGATCAACATTATTTTTACCGTCTATGTATAAAATCTGGTTTCATCTGTGATATTAAACCTTCTTCTTTGTATTTTAACTAATACTGACCAACCAGAAGGAATCCTTATTTATGAGGATCCTTAAGGGACGCTTTTTCTTCATAATTCCCTAGTCATTTTACTGCAACATTTAGTTCTTGTTGATCATTTCTCCTTCTGAGCCATAAATTGATTCTTAGTAAGGTACATTGATAATATAAAGAAAGCATACTGACCAATACTTCATCTCTGTTTTCTCCTTATTTTGCTACAGTTTAAGAGGATGCTGAACAGGGAACTCTCTCACTTATCAGAGATGAGCCGCTCTGGGAACCAGGTGTCGGAATACATATCCAGCACTTTTCTGGGTGAGTTGGATCAGAAAAAGATTTATTTCGACATCACATTCGTCACCTTTGATAAATAAATTCAACACAGGTGATGCATATTCTTTTCCTCACAGACAAACAGAATGAAATGGAAATCCCCTCTCCAACACTTAAAGACAAATCTATGAGTCACATTAGCGGGGTGCGGAAACTGTCTCACAGCTCCAGCCTGTCTAGCGCCTCCATGCCTCGCTTTGGGGTCAACACAGACCATGAGGACGAGCTTGCCAAGGTGTGGCTTGCAGCCTGGATAACTCAATTGCACAAATGACACCCCACAGACATAAAATCTAAAGACATTAGCCTAAAAACCCTGAACTATAATCATTGGTTTAACACTACAAATGTCAAAAAATATGGCTTTTAATAATTGTATTCCTGTGTGGTACTAAACAGGAACTGGAGGATTTAAACAAATGGAGTTTTAATATATTCAAAGTAGCTGAGTTCTCCAATAACAGACCCCTCAGCTGCATCATGTATGCCATCTTCCAGGTAAAAAGCAGCAAGAACTGCAAAATTCTTCTATCCTTATGAGTTTTTAAAATGTACAATTTTATTTTGAACTTTGTCTCCTATCTGCCTCCCTCCACAGGAGCGGGAGCTCTTGAAGACGTTTCGAATCCCCGTTGACACTTTTGTCACCTATGTGATGACCCTAGAAGACCATTACCATGGAAACGTAGCCTACCACAACAGCCTCCATGCAGCAGATGTTGCCCAGTCTACACACGTCCTCCTCTCCACACCTGCTCTGGATGTAGGTTAATTGTACACCCATAAACATGACAAATATGCAGGATGCTACAGTTTTTTAGTGAACATGTCAGGAGAAAAATTCAAAATGGAAAGCAGAAACTAAGAGAGAAAAAAAAAACATCCTGGAAGATTTGAATGTAGGTTGCTATAAAAATATTTTTTTGTTTGTTTGGGGTATTTATAGTGTTTTTGAAACATGTTATATTAGTGTATTGTTCAAGTTAAACATTTTTTAATGTGATTTAAGACTTTTTCTTACTATTTTGTTGGGATTTGAACTAGCAATATCCCTTACAGACCAAACACTGTGAGCTGTCAGTCTTCTATGCATAATATCTAAACAAAAAAGCTTTTTGTTACATTTTTCCCCTGAGAAAAAAAAAGAAAAAAACAAAAAAGACTGCCTTTGGTGCAGCATCCATCTGTTTTTAATCTCTCTTGAAACAAGTCCCAAGAGTGGGCATGTCTAAGTGTAGAGCCTGTTATTTTTATAGCTCACTAATGGCAATCAACTGAAACTAATAACTCAGTAAATTAACAAGTACGCGTTTGCTTGTCAGATGCTTTAGTCAGAAATGTAAATAAACTATGTTAAACCAGCCTGACCTCAAGCTCACACTGTGATGATGATTTACAATATGTGTTGTTTTCCCAAAAAATTTTTTTTATTGCTGAACACAGATTTAAAGGTTTGTCAACTTTTCAAATACTCCGACTTAGGACCATAGCATATGTGCTCAAATTATTCATGATTCTTTTTTTATAAACACTTTTTTATACATTAGGGAAAAATGTATTTTTCCCTAATGTGTCTTTTTTTCTTCAAGATCTATGATGACATAAAAAGAATTCCCGAAAAGTGATGCAGCAAAATATATTACTTTATTTACCCTTTATTTTAAAAGGAAATAAATCCTCTTTTACAAGGATGTTCTGAAAATATATATATACATATCGAATTTGAGTCATCATTGTAACTTCAGACGTGTAATTTTTATTCGCCATATCCAGAAATTTTTGACAATGGCTGCGAGGCTTAAGCTAATAAAGTGATGTATCATGTAATAGTAAAGAAGAAAATGTCTGATAATTAGGCTAAGCTATTGAAAACAATCAAATCAAATCAATGTTTTGCTGTTATAATTAATTGTAATTATGCAGCCTTACTGGGAAAAAAAACAGATGATGGGGAAAACTAAACTTGACAGTATTGTCAGATGGTTAATAATTGAATCAGAGGACGTCTAAGCTCTCTATTTAAAAGAAGATTATTGTCTATGCAGGAATGTTGGCTATGCATTCAGTGGGTAAACTTTTCCATTTAATATTGTTGCTGTTGTTTTACTTTTTGGTTGAATGGACTGAGCTCATGCAGCAATTTTCTGGTTAACTCAAACAACAAAGGTTATTTACTACACCCTATATCTAGAACAGTCAGTAACTGGTTAAAATGTTGGAAGGAAGCAATCTAAAATAAAATAATACCAACAGCTTTCTGGATTCACTGGCTCTACAGCTAGCCAAAGAGTACAGAATTTGCATTTCAGGTCAACTTGTTTCCACAATGAAGATATGTCTTTGCATTGGTTAAGGGAATTGTTAATTAGCCATCAGTAGATTACAGTAAGGCTACATTTTACAGCAGTTTTTCAATCTTAAATCTTTGTATGTTATAATATATGCTGGATTTGGAAGGTAGGAAATAAGATTGGTCCACTAGTTGATTATGTAGTGCATTTTTTTTTTCAAACATCTATTAAGCATTATTTGAACAGTCAGAAATTTGCAGACATTTCTTAGTATATAGCAAAACATTTTTTGTGTGTAACCAGGCTGCCTTCACCGATCTGGAGATCCTCGCTGCTCTGTTTGCTGCAGCTATTCATGATGTGGACCATCCTGGAGTTTCAAACCAGTTCCTCATCAACACCAGTGAGTACATCATTCATGCACAAAGCCAGCAGCTTGTGCCTCAGTAAGTTGCTTCTGCATTGCTAGGTTGTGCATATTTGTCACACTGTTGTTTGTATCACCTACCTCTTTGCACTTAGACTCAGAGTTGGCGCTGATGTACAACGATGAGTCAGTCCTGGAGAACCATCATCTGGCTGTAGGTTTTAAACTCCTGCATCAGGAGAATTGTGACATTTTTCAAAACCTCACCAAGAGACAGCGACAGTCCCTGCGCAAGCTCGTCATTGATATGGTTTGGGCCTCTGCAAAACTACACATAACATGCATATAGATTTAATATCATGTATCAGTCTTTGTTTGGATAGGTTTTCTACAAAGATTTTATAAAATATTCTGTACTGGCGCGGGATTGTTTTTTTTAAATGTGTGTTTTTGCCATATGATTTATTACGTTTTAAATACATTTTATAGATGAACCCTTGTACACAAACAAGAAACCTTTGACCTGATGTTGTGCATTTCAGTTATTTAAAATTTAGTAGTTAATATAAATATATAATTATATATATATATATATATATATATATATATATATATATAAATATATATATTTTGATTTATGTTGCATATCCAAGATGTTAAAATTTATATTATGTCCAGGCACATGGTTATTTATGTGGCAAAAATATAAATATATAATTATTTTTTTTTTATTTAATTCCTTACACTTAGTTTTTTCAAAAAAGAAACAATAATTTGACGGTATCCTTTGTTTTTACATAACTAAGTTTTTTCTAAACAGCAACTCATAGTGATTAAGTGGTAGAATAAAAAGTCAACGTCTAAGATAAAGATAGTCAAATTACTAACACTAGTAGGAAAATGTTAAAATTTAACTGAATCTTTTTTGGTCTGCAGGTGTTAGCCACGGACATGTCCAAACACATGACTCTGCTGGCCGACTTAAAGACCATGGTGGAAACCAAGAAAGTGACGAGTTCAGGTGTTTTGCTGCTGGATCACTACACAGAGAGAATACAGGTGAGGTGTCAATATCAATTTATTTCTCCATCTCAGTGACTTAAATTCCAATATTTTTTTTCTGTCAATTTTTCAAAACACATTGAAAACATTAAGTATATATTTTACAAATTTCTTCATTATTTTTTTTCTTGCAGGTACTGAAGAACATGGTCCACTGTGCAGACCTGAGCAACCCAACAAAACCCTTACCGTTATACAGGCAGTGGACAGAGAGGATCATGGAGGAGTTCTTCCGACAGGGCGACAGAGAAAGAGAGAGGGGGATGGAAATCAGCGCTATGTGCGACAAACACACTGCCTCTGTGGAAAAGAGTCAGGTAAAACTCCAGCTGCATGTTGCTTCTAATGTTATGAAATAATGTTAGTTACTGGTGAGATAGCTAATTTTGACTATTTTTAATTTTTCAAACTTTAATCTGAGATAACTGTGATAATTTATTTTTTGCAGTATTAATTGAATAAAATAGTATTAACAGAAATCCTAAACCGCATAGACTAAGGGTAACTCTTAAATATTACTTTGCAATTCTTACCTGTATTTGAGGGGGAGAGATATTGACTTAAGATTTTATCTTAATTATGGATTTCTCCCCAATAATGATATATATATTATGATATAAAGTATTTTCTTTTTCATTTAAGTCGCTACTTTTAATTATACATTGTACACATTAACTGTGTCCGGTTCTGAAATATGTTGATTTTAATTTAAGATTTTATGGAACAATGGTTTAGAAAAAAGTTAAATTATTCATATCTCAAATGCATTTCTTGTTAGAGGCCAATCTGAAGTCAAAGCATTTTAAGACTTTATTTCTGTATGATTATTGCTTCTCTTTGCCTCTTACCTAGAAACATGAAATAAACACAAATTTTAATATGTGTTTTGGTTTTATTGGTCCAATCTGCACTATTTAATTCAATGTACATAATGGACTCACCTGGTTCAGTGGCTGAGCAGAACAAACACATGACATTGAGATGACTTGATGGCTCCACATCTCCCACCTCTGCATGTTAGTCTACAACATGTCTTAAAGAATCATAATCAAACTCTGATCCCCCTAGTTAAGTTAGAGTGCAACTATTGTTATTACTAACAAATATTCCAGCTTCTGGACATCTTACATTAAAGATTAACTGATCTTTTCAATGCCAACACCGATTATGTTAATATTAGGCTAACCGAACCTCGATTTTTGCTCCTAGTTTTTTTTTTGGGCCCATAAATGACAATAACAAATGTTACACTAATATCAATTTCAAATAAGAAGAAGCATTAATCAACAAATCTAACAAAATATATCACAATAAATGGCAAATGGAGGTAGGGGAAAAACATACATCAGATGATCTCGAGGCATCGCTGCTGAATGCACTACTGAATCAGGGAATGCATGCATCTGCCTCTTGATGCTGATACAAGACCTCCTCCCCCTAATATTGGAAAAAGGATCACCCAAGTCAATATTAATCTACATCTATCTCACACACCACTATTTACTGCTCATCTTAAAATGGGAAGGGTTATGAAATAAATAAAAACCAACCAAGTCATGGCTGTCCACTAAAACCAACATCAAAGAGAGCATCCGTGACCTGACCTAACCCCTAAAAGTTGACAGGACAGCTGAGTCATCCATTCCACAAAGCTGGGCTTTATGGAAGGGTGACAATAAGCTAGACACTGTTGAAAGGAAATCATCAGCAGTCCTGTTAGCAGCAGTAGGAGATTCAGCTAACATGTGATGGAGATGCTCATGTCATATGGGACTAAATCGGAGCTTTCAAGTCTCCATCCCTATGGTAAAACATGGTAGTATTATGCTATGGGGTAACTTTCACACAGGGATGTTGTTTAGATATAGGATAGGCTGGAGCTAAGTATAGGTATCTTTGATATAAAAACCAGGACTACAGACACTTGAAACTGGGTTGGAGATTCACCTACTAGCAGACACAACCCAAATGTACGGTATAACCCACACAGGACATGTTTTTAAAAGAGAAAATATATTTTTTTTCATAATTCTCCTGTTAAACAAGTCAGTGTTGCATCATTGCTGCATAAAAGGTTATAGTCTTTGACATGGCCGTCTGCCATAATGAGGTTAGGACGTGACAGAAATTCATATAATTATGCTATTCAAACTGCAAAATATAGACTAAAAAATAATAGGAAAAGACACAACTTACCCTGATTTAGTGAATGGCTGACGCTCTTAAATATAAAAGCAAATATGATGGTGTGTACATTTGCATGTGTCACACACAGTTGTATGAAGAAATAATCTATTTTTATATAATTCAGTCCATCCTGTCATGCAAAGTTTTGTGGGACTCCACATAGGTCCTCGGTGCCATATAGGAATGCTGGGCGGTACCTATGCTGAGCATTGTATTCTGATGAACCTACAGTCTTCTATAGATTTCCGTTTAACCTCACTCTTCTTATAGTAAGTGCAGGGATTTCATGTTGATGTGGTCATCAAAAGGCAACAAAAAGCAAGCAATTATTTTGCCCATTGTCAGCTCTAAAGATAAAAGTAAAGCTGTACTTGATTTTTTTTTTTTTTTTTTTTTTTTTTACAAAATTAGCCTTTTTCTTAGCACTCTATTGCATATCTTCAAGTGTGAAATCCTTTTTTTTTTATGCCATTCCCTCTTTTGTAGGTGGGCTTCATTGACTACATTGTACACCCTCTATGGGAGACGTGGGCTGACCTGGTACACCCAGACGCCCAGGAAATCCTGGACACCTTAGAGGAGAACAGGGAGTGGTACCTGACCACTATGCCTCAATCACCTTCGCCTCCCCCCGATAGACACCTCCAGCATGACCGCTTCCAATTCGAACTTACACTGGAGGAGCTGGAATACAACAATCACAACAACATATACAAAAGGAGCAGTGGCTGTGCAAGAGGCGTCAAGGAAGGCCAGAAAGCCATGTGCGAAGACAGCAATGGGAAGCAGGAGGGAATAGGTGAGGAGGATCAGAACCTTGCTGAGGATGAGGAGGAGGATAAGGAGAACCACAACAGTGAACAAAATGGAATCCAGGAACAGGAGGAGGAAAACACTGGAGGAAAGGAAGATGAAAATGAAGAGGAGATAAAGGAAGCTCTTGAGGAGAAGGAAGAAGGAGGAGGAGAAGAAGAAATCAATAGTGAAGAAGAAGGAGTGGAAATCAATGGCAAAGAAGATGAATCAGCAAAGGAAGACAATGAAGCCATTGAGGAAGAGGTAGACGAGGAAGAGAATGAAGTTAGGGAAGCTGAAGGAGAGGGAAACGAGGAGGAGGAGGAAGGTGAGAATGATGACGCAGAAGTAGAAGAGGAGACAGAGACAAATTTAAGTGAAGGAGAAGAAGGCAAATATGAAGATGAAGGCAACACAGAAGAAGCTAAAGAGGAGGAAACTGAGATGGACAGTATAGACGAGGAAACTGAGCAGGAAGTAGTAGCAAAAGAGAATGCAGAGGAGGAAGAAGAGGCACCTCAGGAGGGTGAAGAAGATGAAGTACCAGAGGAAGAGGAGAGTTAGCTAAATAGACAAATGATCAGGGTCACTGAGTGAAATGGGTAAAAGAGAGATGATGAGGGGCCAGAGAGGTTCTTAAAGGCAGAAGAGGGGCTTTAAAGAGGCAAAAAAGCTGAAATATGTATGTCTTTCCAGATAACGCAGTCTAACTGCTTTACCATGTGAAGGTCAAATTACTCTCATCCTTAGAGCTATATTTTGCACCAACAGTAAAGAACTGAAGATGGGAAACGGGAATTTTTCTGAACAGCCCGAGAAAGATGGTCATCCGGTAGTAAGAGAAACGAGGGTCTTCTACCCTGTGTAAGTACGTATATCACTGCCGTTTAGGATAAATGGGGAAATAACAGTAATAAAACTGGGGGACTGGTTTAAACAACCGCTTTGTAGCTCCTGGATACAAATTAAAGAAAAAAAATGCTGAAATTCGTACATGCAAATAAGTGTGTGCGTGTTTTGCAGCTGTTATAGACTGTCACGCATTGTCTCTTGGTCACTGTCTATTGTTTTATTGATAAGGACCATAACACAAACCTAGACCATTATAACTCAAGTGCAAATTTCAAAATAATTCCAAAAAGAGATTTAAAAAATATGACCAGAAAGGTGTAATTTGCTGTCTTATATTTAGTACAAAACCCTTCTCAATCTATGAGCAGTATGTTTCATATACTGTGGTTAAGAAACTGTGTAAGCCCCTCACTCCCTTACCCTAAAGCAACAATGCTGGATTTCTGACCCCATTTCTAAATAAAACACAGACTGTTCTCGTCAAGTGGAAACTTACAAGGCTGATGTATTCTATGTTGTCGATGTTCAGTCTTGTCGAGAGTTTAAAAAAAAGAAAATTATCACACCAAGTGTTTATGCCATTGTGACATTGTAACCTGAGTTGTGCCAAACTGTCCCACAACCAGCACTGAGCAATGCAGCCTCCAGATTAGGTGGCTACTCTTCACGAAGCAATGAATCTGTGGGACCAGGCCAGCAGGTGTGATGGTCTTCCACAAATTTATGTTTTTGTTTTTTGTAAACAAATATGTATTTGGCACTTTATCAAACACCCTTGTTGCATATATGTACATAATAAACATGTATTTTAATCTGCTGATGTCATAATAAATATGATCAATTCATTTGATGGATTTGTGTTTTATTAAAGAAAAATTTGAGCAACACTGTGTTGTGTTGGGTAGCACCATCGGCTCACATTAAGAGGGTCCAGAGTATCGAACCAGGACCTTTCTTTGTGGTGTTTGCATGTTTTCCTGAGTCTGCGTGGCTTTGTTCAGGCTTCCTTCCACAGTTCAAAACCTGCATGTTTATTGGACATTTCTAATTGCCATTAGGAAAGAGTGGGAATGTGCGTGGTGGTTCGTCTTTGCGTATCTCTGTATCCCCCCTTCGATAGAGTCAGAATAATTGGCTGAAAAATATTAACTCAAGCACATCTTAGATGCCATGCCAAAGATTCCTCTTTATGCATTTTGTCTGTCATCTCTGCTGTTTGCAAATAGTTTTGTCCTGTTGGCCTCATCAAACCAGGACCTTCAGCGTGCATTGGGGCGGTTTGCAGACGAGTCTAAAGCCGCCTGGATGAGGATCAGCACCTCTTAATCCAAGGACATGGTTCTCCACGAGAGAAAGGTAGACTGCCCTCTTCAGGTTGGTGTAGAGTGCTTGTCTCAAGTGGAGGAGTTCAAGTATCTTGGTGTAACTCTTGTTCACAAGTAAGGGACGGAGGGCTTGTGAGATGGATAGCTGCTGCGTCTGCAGTGATGCTGTCACTGTGTTGGACTGTTGTGGTAAAGAGGGAGCTGAGTTGGGGGCCAAAGCACTCATTTACCAATCGATCTATGTTCCTATCCTTACGTATGGTCATGAGATCTGGGTAATGACCGAAAGAACAATATCACAAATACAGGTCCTTCTAAAATATTAGCATATTGTGATAAAGTTCATTATTTTCCATAACTTAATGATAAAACTTAAAACTTATTTTCATTCACTTGTAAATGGTTTACTGACCATGGTATCACTGTGCTCTATTGGCCTGCCAACTCTCCTGACCTGAACCCCATAGAGAATTTGGGATATTGTGAAGAGAAATTTGAGAGACGTAAGACCCAACAATGTGGTTGAGTCAAAGGCCGCTATCGAAGCATCCTGGGCCTCCATAGCACCTCAGCAGTGCCACAGGCTGATGGCCTCCATGCCACGCCGCATTGAAGCAGTCATTTCTGCAAAAGGATTCCCGACCAAGTATTGAGTGCATAACTGACATAATTTTTTGAAGGTTGACTTTTTTGTATTAAGAACACTTTTCTTTTATTGGTCAGATAATATATGCTAATTTTGTGAGCTAGGAATTTGGGGTTTTGATGAGCTGTATGCCAAAATAATCTGTATTTAGACAATAAAAGACCTGAAATAATTCAGTTAGTGTGCAATGAATCTAAAATATATGAATGTTCAAGTTTTATCATTACAATATGGAAAATAATTAACTTTATCACAATGCGCTAATATTTTGAGAAGGAGCTGTACAAGCGGCCAAAATGGGTTTCCTTCGCAAGGTGGCTGGGAGCACCCTTTGAGATCGGGTGAGGAGCTCAGTTACCTCTGAGGAGCTCAGAGTAGAGTCGTTGATGAAAAGAGCCAGCTGAGGTGGCTCGGGCATTTCTTCCAGATTCCTCCTGGTCATCGTCGTTGTGGAGGTGTTCCAGGCATGTCCTGATGGAAGAAGGCCTCATGGAAGACCTAGGACACGCTGGAGGGACTAGGTCTCTGAGGTGGCCTGGTGTCACCTCAAGGTCCCCCTAGAGAAGCTGGAGGAGGTGTGTGTGGATTGAGAAGTTTGGGCATCTCTGCTTAGACTGCTGTCTCCGCAACTTGGGCCTGGATAGAGCGGAAGAAAATTAATGGATGGATGCAAGTTTAAATAAGTTACAATAATTCTAAAACCAATCCTAGCTAAGTATCAATCAGGCAAGTATCATTTGAAAGTCTTATTTAGAATTTGGTAGAGCTACAAATGTCATTAGGAAAAGAAACTTGTCTAGTTCTTGATCCATAATTAAGTGCAAATAAACATGTTGAAGACTTCTTCCTCTTGTTTTCTGTCTGACTTGTTTTTATTATTTACTTATGTTCTTTTCCAATTGAGTAGGTTATATTATGTTGAAATACCCTTTGAACTGAAAATTCCTAAATTGGGATTTTTGTCCATTTTATTGGGTAACTGTAACCTGAATTTGAATGTTCCTTGTAAGGTAATGTCTTCTACCGTGCTTTTTTGACTCATTCTATTTTGGATATTGATACTCTCTTTCAAAAAGTCTATTCTTATATTATGGGACTAAGATTTATTGATCACATCTATTAATAAACAATTTTATTGTTAAACATGCTAAACAAAGGGAAGCTGAGTTTAATAAACTGTGGACTTTTCTTCCTTCTACTTTTTTGAGACAAAATGAGAATTATTAATAATTCTCTGAGTTTAATCCATTTTTTCAGCTGAGTTAAAAGTTCCATAGTTGCTAACATAGGATTTTCTGTTTTTCAAGGCTGTTTTATATCAGTGTTCAAAGGAATTAATTCATTTCAGTTTAATTTATATAGCGCCAATTTACAACACATGTCATCTCAAGGCACTTTACAGGTTACCAGATCATGCAGTCAAATTGATTAAAAGTTTTCTATCTGAGGAAAACCAGTTGATTGCATCGACTCATTGACTCGAAGGCAATCCCTCACACTAAGCATGCTTTTAGTGACAGTGGAGAGGAAAAACTCCCTTGCAAAAGGAAGAAACCTCCAGCAGAACCAGGCTCAGTGTGAGCGGCCATCTGCTGAGGCCGACTGGGGTTCAAGGAGACAGAAGCAGAGATACAAAAAGCAACTGTAAAAGCCGGCCCCGTTCAGGAAACACACAGCCAGGCAGACGAGCTCCAAGCCAGCTCCCCTGTCAAAGATCAGCTTCACTGTTACAGGAACAGTGAAGCTGATCTTTGAGGTAGGTTTATTCTGACTTTAAATTGTTAAAAAAAATCATTTCACGGTAGTAAATCAGTTAAATACTAACTAATTTTTAATATTCTAACTTTACTTCTTCAGTGAGGAAACAATCTGCCTAGAATCAAATGGCCAAATAATAATGCTTTTCTCATAATTTCTCTTTCCACATCTCATAAAGACAATTACTTTGAAAATGATCAGTATTGTTTCGTACATTTTAATTTTGAGGAATTTTCATTTCAACAACATATTTATTCTTATTGGGAAGAAAGAACATGACACAATAACATAGATTTCTTAAAGATAATTTTGAGGAAATATTGATCTTTGCTTTGTGTCATCATATTAATAAAACAGTAAATTAGATTCCAGGGACAACTTCCAAAATTAGGCGGAGAGGGCATGAGAAAAGGTTATTTTTTATCCGGTGAAGTAGTTCTATAATTTTTAACTATATGTTTTGGGATTATTTTCTCCTGAAATTTATAAGTATGATCCATTTTATTAGTTTTTCAGCAAGAGGCCAGCTGTTTTTATACAGAAATATCCTTAGATCCCAAGATCTTATGAAATGTGTTTTAAAAGTGTTTTCGAATCCATTTTGAAGCGACATCCAGGACCACACTATACTTATTCTTTAATAATTGCTGAACAAACTTGGCATTTTTATTAAAAGGTTAAGACCTTTACCAGGTCTGCAAGAACAGAGAGATTTTTTTTGTTAGGTCAGGTGGCAAGAATAAGAACAACAAAACCACACTGCAAGGTCAGAATAATGTTGTTTTATTATTTCAGCCTTCAGAAAGACAACATATTTCTCAGTTCTTGCAGCGAAAGTTTAGATTTTTATAAACTTGAATATGAGTATAAATCCATGACTGTACATTTAATGTTGCCACTTACACTTACATGTATTGCATGATAAGACTTTGACTTTAGATTAATTTTCAAACTTAAAAACCTTTCATATAAACTATAAATTGTTTCTGTAAATGTAGTAATATTTAACCCTCACTGTTAGTCCTGCATATTTGTGGAAACAATACGTGGTACTTATGTCCTACAACTATTTTAGCCCACAAAATATGTTGCAACAACTGCATTCACCACATGGAGGCACTGTTGCCCTAAAGAAAAAAAATAAGTTGATATCTTGCTGCTGGGTAGTTCTGAAATACAAAAGGTTTCCACAGGTCTAAACAAGCTTTCTGCTTTCTTGATTTTATTGCACCAAAGTGAAAAGAGCACTATGACAGAGAGGTCACACTGGGCAGAGGGTGTAAGCAAGTGAAAGGATAAAATAAGGTGAAGATGAGAGAGGAAAAGAACAGCAGCAATTTAAAGGCAAAGGAGCTCACTTTTGCACCTTCAAGCTTTAGAAAAGTATTAACATCCTTCAAATGTTTCCACATGTTTTGTGTTTTAAAAAAACCTTTGAAATATTTATAGTAACACAAAGTGCATAGCTAAAAATGGAAGAAAATTGTACCATGCCTTTTCTATAGCATGTGTGGTTTGCATCACCATAAAGAAAAAAATCCAATGCAACGTGTTGCATTAAAAAATCATGTATGAATTAAACAGAGTCCATTTAAATGTATGATGTCATATTACTCCACCTCTTCCCATAACACCTGAGAGGTGTCTTAAAGAACACAGACAAAATAACAAAGCAGACCAGTCAGAGAGAATATCTAAGTTTAGAGCAGAAATATGAAACAATATCCTGAACAAAATTTTTACTTTTTAATTTATCACCTACAAAAAAAAAGAGTATGGCATAAGTGTAAGCTACACTTCACCCTTTACATTTGATCCCATTGGTCAAATAAGCCAGTGGTAGCATCAAACTGTGGAGAACTTTCAACTCCACTGAAACAGGGAAGCCAGTTGGTTTTCTGTGGAAGCTAAATATAGCACAATCCTATATGAAAACCTGTAGGCTGTAAAGAACAACCCTAAACACACAGTAACGGATACAAAACATGGGACAGAATACCGAAGTCAAAGTCCCAAGCTAAGTCCAATGAAAAACATGAAAAATTGCCCTTTACAGTATCTCATAATCCTGAATAAAACTGAGTTAATGTTAAAAAATAAATTAAATGAA